TAAACTCCTGAGAAGTGGAGACCCAGCGTTGCTGGGCGTCAAGATCGGGTACTATTTATCTGCAATGGTATAGTCAGTGCGGCGGCAGAATGTATCCCAGTTTTGCTGCACCTTATTACGTGCCGGAAAGGACACAGTAGTCAAGGCATTTTTCCTAGGTGCTCTTGGTTGCGGATATTTCATGTTGACTTGAGGCTGTGAGCTAACAATTGCTGCCTTCGATCGGGCGCACCGGCAGGCTTAGAGTGTTCAGAACGGCAAGGCATAGCCGAAACCCGGGTGCAGTCGATGACTCCGCTTGGGAGCACCAGGGCAGGATTTGTGAGCAAAGGGGGCCTTTTATCTTTTTCCAGGCTCAGCTCCGTGAAGACGATGCAGATTTCCGAATTGGAGTAAAATCAGTTGCGCCTCCACAGAGCATCGCTACACACCATCGTCCCCCCCGAATTTCACTTACTAGGAGGGTCTGCCTTCTTCTGCTACCCTGTTTATTCCTGAAGCTGCCCCTGCCTTGCTTGCTCTGCCTTGCATGGGGCCATGACGTTTTCGGAGCCCCATGCCACGTTTGCATCTTAACCCTTCGGGGCGGAGACAACGCGGGTGCCCATCTCCTTGCCGGGAGGTGACTTTTCTCTCTCTCTCTCTCTCTCTGTCTCTCTCTCTCTCTCTCTCTCTCTCTCAAGTAATTGGAAGGACCCGTTTGAGGACACCAGATCTAGGACAATGGCAAGGGGAAATACACTGCTTCAATCGGTTGGCAACGATTATGAGTGTCCACAAGCGAAGTTGAACCTCAAGAGCACTGGTGCAAGCCTTTGTCCATGAGCGTAGTGAGTTTGGATCAGTAAGCCTTCCCTGGAAGCCCTAAGGACAACGGCAATCAACGGCACATAGCTCATGCTTTCACAAGCTCAAGGTGCTGGCAGCATCTTCACACGGGGGGAAGTGTTCCCCTCGCAGCGACACTTCGCCACGGTGCGCTCGCCCTTGTCGTCCATGTAGATCTGCAGAGCTCTGCGAACCACTTGGTGATGCCTCCCGCATGCACCTAGCCATGAATGCGCCTCTGCCGGTGCCACCTCAAGTGTCACACCGCCACACCGTGATCGACACACCATTCTCGCACAGGTGTAGATGACCACCCTTTCGCCTCGTCCACACGAACAAACTTGGGAACTCCGAAGTGACGAACCCAGGAAGGCTCCAGACCTTTCACGAACTCCACGGCTTTCTCGCTGTGCAAGATCCGGACAGCAATGTACCGGGTCGCCTGGTCCATCATGGTCAGAACGCACTTCCCACCCTCTTTTGTCTCAACCCAGGCTGAGTCCGCCAGCAGGTGGTCACCAAAGTGCCTCGCTGGTAGTCCGGCAGCAGGCGGTACTCCAGCAGGTGGTCGGCGAGCGTAACATGTTGGACAGATATTATAGTCCTTGGCGGCTGTCTTGACGGTGTCGGTGGCTTGAACCTCCTCCAGCATCCGCAGCAGAACCTCGGTTCCGACGCAAGCGTGTGCATAGTTCATCGCTTCACTTCCAACAGCTTTGCGAATCTCCTGGTTCGCTCGGATGTGGTATTCCTCGTCCTGATTGGCCCTCTCCTTGTCCTTGGCGTGGTCAGTCGTGGTCTTCATCCTCGGCCGGGAAGATGTCCTCCTCGCTGTCGTCCTGCATCATGATCTCCGCGAGCTTCTCTGCCAACTCAGGAGGTAGCTTTCCGCGAGTGAGCTCCTTGCGCCCTTCCCCGGAATGCTGCCCTCAAGAACAACATGTTTGTGATCGCTAGGACAATCTCGACCCAGGCGTCGGCATATCTTTCGCTTCGTTGTCATGAAACAAGTTCTCTTTTGAACATTTTGAACTGGCCCGACCTCGCCGCCCGGACCCTCCGTGCGCAGACCGTATTGGCATTGGTCCACTTTCACTGCCTCGCCACTCAAGCGACTGAATGCCTTCGTTGACCAGGCTCGGCTCGACCATGGGTGCTCAAAGTGGACATGTCGTCCTTCTCGTCGCTGAATCTCTCGAACACCAGGGACACAAACGTCAGCGCACCCTCATGGTTCAGTCGCCGGGCCGCAAAGAGACGTTTTCGACGTTCCGGATATTGTGCCAGATTCAGTTCCTGCAAAGGAGACCGCAGTTTGCGGACTGGACTGAGCAACACCTCGTCCGGTTGTTCTTCTTGAAGACGACGGAGGAATGCGAGGATCTTTCGCAGCCTCGAAGTACAAGCCAGTCTCCTTCGAGAAAGACTCCGCATAGGCGCCTCGTCTCCTGGCCGCTTTGGTGGTTCGACCCTCGCTTGCACATGCCTCCCATATCACAAGGCTCCCTTTTCTCTCATGCTTGGCTTGGGACAGGAGGCGGTCTTTCTTCTTGCAGGCTTCGGTAGCGGCGAGGATGAGGCCATGAAGCTTTCCCTTTGCCAGGGACTTGACAGGAGCATCATCCAAACTGGCATCGCTCCGTGTGATCTTCTTCTTCTCATTGAATTCGGTTGGCGCAGCCATCGCGGCGTTGGGCTCAACAGGATCGTGGCGCACGTCATCGCTCGTCAAGAGCGGGAATGTGGTGGGGCTCGGTTGAGGATCTCGTTGGTGGCGATCTTCGTTGACCTTCGGGATTTGTCGGCAGGTAAGACGTCTGCCTCCTTGCGTTCCACCATGTCCTCTGGCTCCTGGGGCTCAGCTATGTTCACATCGGCGATCGTGCCAGCAATGGCATTCACCACGTTCTCCAGGGCGACGGGGTTCTGGAAGTCGATGTGGTTCTCGAAGTCACTCGGGACCAGCACCTTCTGGAAACTCCTCGTGATTGTTGAGGATGGCGGTGTCCTGCACCAAGTTCAGGAGATGCTCTCCCTTCAGACCAATGGGAATTGGCTGCCAGCGTACTCCTGGCCACTTCATCTTCCTCTTTCCATAGTCGACCGCGATCTGCAGCTGCTCCGGCACGGGCCAGCCGAAGAGGATTGGGGCCATTCCTTGGATCACGTAGGCCAAGAGTCAAGATCTTCAGTTTCTTGCCTCCTAGCACCGTCGGCAAGAGGATGCACTTGGAGGTCACCTCCACTGTTGCCATAGCGAAAACCTTTCTCGCAGTGAAAAGCCTCGATCTTCGTGAGGTCGTATCCTTGCTCCAGCGGTAGATGAGGTATCTCCTGACACTATGGCTGCTGCCGAGCACCGCGGAGGCTCCACCATCCTGCAATGCAGTCTGCAGTGGTTCGTCCTCGTCCGTGTCGATGCTGTCCATGGCGTAAACCTCCCGCGTCCGTGACCAACCTGCATGACCTCGTCGGAACCCTCGGCCTCAATCTTCCGCTTCTTGCCATCACTGGAGGCCATCGGGCAGTTGCGTGCCCAGTGTCCTGCCTGGCCGCAGCGCAGACACATCTGGCGCCCCACGGCTGCTTGGCCACGGGCTCGAGCGGTGCTTCCTTTGCCCGAGGATGTTGGCGAGTGGGGCATTTGCGTGCCCTTCTTTCCCTTGCCACGGCTCTTGCTCGTCCCCTTCCGGCTCTTCGATCCCTCGAAAGGGCTGCCAGACGCTGCCGGCCACTGCCCTTGTCGATCATCGCCGCGACGGGGTAGAATCTACGGGACACCCACATTGAATTCAATCGGGCCTTGGCATCTGCGTAGCTGGCATAGACTTCGTCGATCGAAGGCGTCCTCCGTGCCGGCCTTGCCCTCATGGTCCTCGTAATAGTCCTGGTCGCAGTCCATCCAAGGGCCGTCATAGTCTGGGGAGTCGTGATGGAAGATGTGGTCGTTCTCGCCGTTCCACTAGCCGGGGTCGTCATCAGCTTCTTCCTCGTAGTACTACCTCCTTGGCGTTCTTGTGGCGTCCTCCTTCCAGGCGGGAGTCTTGACCCAGGATGAAGTTCATCGCCTTCTGGGTGGCCTCCATTGTCAGGTTCTCAGACCCAACGTTGGTCAGGATCATCTGGCGCCTATCTAGCGTGATGCCCGATCGCCGCAAGAACCACCATGCCTTCACTTTCTCCGGGAGTGTCACGCTGTGGGTGTTCCGGATGTGTCTCTCGGATCGAGCAAACTCGGCGGCAGACTCCTGCAGCCTGGTGAGACGAATAAAGAAGTTTTCAAAGTCCTCCGGAAGTTCAATCATCGCATCGAACTTAAAGCCTTTATCGAGTCTCTCGAACACCCGTTGAAATCCAGCGTCTCCCTCAAGGTCTCCAGGCTCTAAGTCATCTACCAAGTCCCAAGACTTGCCACTTAGCATTGTTACAATGTTGTACGTCGCCTCCTTCTGGCGGTTTGCCAGGCTCATCTTCACTCTGTAAAGTTCACATCGACGACGAAACTCCTTGTAGTTTTTTTGCTGAATGTCAAATACATACTGGTCAACACGACCTGTGTTCACAGCCTGGCCTGACCCTGCCCGTCCTGAGATGTAGAAGCCATCTCTGCCAAGTCGCGGTAGCTGAGCTCCCGGAGCCCTGACATTCAGCCAGAGCTCCGCTGCCAACTTCAATCGGTTGGCAACGATTGTGAGTGTCCACACGCGAAGTTGAACCTCCAGAGCACGGGTGCAATCCTTTGTCCACGAGCGTAACGAGTTTGGATCAGTAAGCCCTCCCTGGAAGGCCTAAGGACAACGGCACATAGCTCATGCTTTCACAAGCTCAAGGTGCTGGCAGCATCTTCACACCCACCCATTCTATAGCCCCAAGAAAGCCGTTTTGATCCACCCAATCTATTCCCATCTCAATCATTCCCACCATGTCGTCCCCCCCTGGTTTCCCCACTTCCCTGAAGAGGCCCTAGATTAGACACCTTCGCAAAACCCTCAGAATAAGCTTGGCTCTAAGAGCTGGATCACGGCTCAGGAACGGGTAATCACGTCCCCTGCTACTAAACAGTACTAAACCCTCGCACTCCCCTAATATTGAATATTCTCTACAACCTCTTTCAAACTCTAACCCTTTATCATAAACCTTGAACCCCAAACCTGAAATTTAGCCCAAGCGTCCATGAAAACAATAGGATCTCCAAGGGAGTCGATACGCATCAGGAAGAACTTGATGGCGTCAAGTTCGGACAGTGGGTCCACATAGCTGAGATGCACTACCTCAGCGAAAAAACGCTTGGAGGCGGCTGATGGTGGAAATCCTGCATACTGGAAGGCTTGAAGGATCAGGTTTAGGATGTAGGGTTTGGGGTTTAGGATTTAGGGTTTAGGGTTCAGGGTTTAGGATTCAGGGTTTACTTGAAGGCTCGTGGGACTAAGTAACTACTTGTAACTGGGCTTAGAACTCCGCTAATAATTGGGATAACCTACAGAAGGCCACTTGAAGGACTTGCAAGAACGGTCACAAGCCCAGTTATATTATGAACCGGAATCCCAAGAGCTTTTCCCAGCATGGGGGAACCCATCTTAACACATAACATACGTTAAACGAATATCTTCACAGGAAGCACGATATGCGGGACCCGTACCCAACGTGGACCCTAACCCCTGAACCCGTATCCCTTAAACCCGGTTTTCTTCCCCTAAACTCCTAGAGCCCTAAACCATAAATCCCAAACCATAAATCCTAAACCCTAAGCCCGTAAACCCCTAATCGCCAAAAAACGCTAAATCCTAAAGCCTAAACCCCTCAACCCTGTAAAACCCTAAACCCTAACCGCTAAAAACCGCTAAAACCCTAATCCCAAGGCCAGGAGAAGTGAAGATCAGGACCTGCGCCACCGTACGTCGTCCTCTCGTGATTAACATTCCACCAAACAAACCCCAAAAAGGGTGTAGGGTGCAGGGCTTATGTAACCGCAAGCACATACGACACAGTACTTTCGACTCGGAGCGCTAGCATCCGTCTCATCTTGAGCCATGCACGTGAAACATACTTTAAGAATGATTTGTATACGACTCATAGCGGCACATGGTCTTTCAAGACATGTCGTGGTCTGCTACAGAGCATCCCCCAACCTGTTTGCTGAGATTATAGACGATGCTAACAGGTTCTGTTTCGTTGCCGCGTGAGTCGCGTGAAACGCAATCCTGGGCCCCATATTCAAGACAAGTCAAAGCGAAGTCATGAAGAGCTTACCCGTCCAGCCACTGATACGGGGTTGTTGTTAGATCAATGACTTCGGTGCTACCGTCGTCGTCCCATTTGACGTGAACTCGTCCGTCAAGGCCAACGGCCTCGACTGAGCCAGTTTTCCGATTTACGGCGAGTTTGGTTCGAGGTTGATCTGGACCGATAGGAGTTGTTAGCGGCGCCAGCTGTACTGGCACCAGTCTGTCTGCCGAAACTGGTTGGTGGAATCCCAAGTCTTTAGAGCCGGTAACGGGATCGCAAAGGACAAAAGCTCGAGTTCGCTCTTCACCGCCCGTTTGGTCCGTGATCTGGTACACTACATCAAAGTTGGGCGCCTGTGATTTTCTACTCTCGTCAGAGAAAAAGTGTCCCTTCTTAAGAAGAACGTAGTCACCAACAGCGAAGTGTGTGTTCGCACCATATTTGCGCATATGCAACTCTTGTTCTGCGTTACGAACACGACGATGTTCACTCTCGACGAAGCTGTGCACCTTTCGCAGATACTGAATCAAGTCCGTGACGTAAGAGTCTACAGATGTTGATTGGACGACGGCTGGTGTATTCAACAAACCATCCAATGCAGTTCGAGGCTTCATTCCTGTTATGATTTCATAGGGGGCGAATGAACCGTTAAAGACCTTGCACGAAGTGCGAGGCGCTACCACATCAAAGTTGTTTCCAAACTCACGCATAAACTGTTTACAAAGTGTGCGGTACTCCCGGTGCGGTCGTTCAACTGCTGACTGTGACTGTGGATGCAAGGAAGTCCCTAAAACCTGTTTGATGCCGAACGTGGCATTCAGATGTTTGACTACCGACTCTGTGAAGGCTTTGGCCCTGTCAGAACACAGCATTGCCGGTACACCTGCCAAGTCAAACATAACCCGTTCTGCAAACAGCTCGGCGGCGGTTGCGGAATCCTCTTTCTTACAGGGAATGCACCAATACCAGCCACTGAAGACACAAGCGCACGTAAAACAATACTCGTTACCGCGTGGTGTTGCAGGCTTCCGCGGCCCGATAAAATCCATAATAAGTACGCGAAAAGGGCCATCTGACTCACGACTGCGCGTGAAGCCGGTCACAAGCGGTCGACTCTTCGCAATTCTGCAGACCAAACAGTTCTTTATGAGTGCATCAATGTCAGTACGCAAATCCTTCCACCAAAGACCTGCATCTGTGATGGCTCCAAATGTTCGGTCCCTATCTTTGTGGCCGCCCATAGGCGAACAATGATGTGAAATGAGCACGTACCGACGCAAACTAAGCCTACGATTGACCCCTTGAAACTCCACCGATCTCCAACCACCTTTGGGGACTACCGTAAAATACTCATACAAACCGGTCTGGGAACTGTACCACCTACGTTGCAACAAACCGAAGTACAGTCGGTACTCTGGCAGCCTTGCAGCTGCCTCCCGGAGTTCCACGAGTGGAACGCCGGTGTGACGATGGATGCGATGGAGCTGCTGGTGCTCAAAATGCAAACCTTTTCCATGAGAAATGAATGAACAAGACTCGCTGTCATCTAGCACCGCGCTTCCAGGCATGATGTGCTCATCAGTCGAAAATACACTCAACAACCAAGGAATCTTGACGGCTACTTGACGACTGGGGTTGTTGAGGTAGCGAAACTGTTCCTCAAGTCGATACCATCCTACCTTCACATGCGTTGGGATCGGTCTCTCAGCCGGAGGTTCAAAGTAAGCGAACGTGGAGCGTAATGGAAACATGTTTGGTGACAGGTTTGAACCAGCAAGGTCGGGAATGACCAATGTTTGCGAATCCTTTGCCACATGAAAGATTTGATCTGTAGCATCATTGTACATACAGCGTTTACCTCTCAAGAAACGTTGTCGATGCTGCCACACATTGAAAAGCTCGTTCAAAGTGTTACATTCATCATAATCGCAGCCTGTCCACTCTTCTTCGGTTGCGCCTACAAGTTGCGGAACTGCTTCACTGGCTTCGGCTTTGCTTTTGTTGACGTCGTTGTTCATGGACACGCTTGAAAACAGAGGATCTGCCGCGCATGATGCTGACAACAAGGCCGTGACAGCTCGAGTATCATCACCTGTGCGAAACAGCATCAATAGCCGAAGCTTGTCAATGCCCAAAGCTGAAAGAGCTGACCCCAAACCCATGTGATACAGTTGGCCGGGTAATCTAAAGCCTAAGGCAAGTAAAGCTTCCCGATGAGCGTCGAAAGACCCGATGGGTACAACCTCGAACGAAACAAGCATGACACGAGTGTCAAAGCGGTACACCAGACCCTTTTTAAGAGCCAGTGGTGCTGCAAAATCAATCGCATGAGTGCCTACAGAAACTGATGCGGTACTACTTTCTTCAGCTTGTGAGGCCGACAAGGTTTGGTACACAGCAGGTTTGTTCGTCGGCTGTACCCAAGCAAGTATGTGCATACGCTCACATATGGAGCCTACTTCGATCTCCTTCACGTTGCATGCAACAGGGATTGATGTGAGGGGTTCTCTTTGGACTGCCCAAAAGTAAGCTAGCGCAAATTTGAGAACATCCCACTCCAAAGGACTTGCGGGGACCTTTAAACCATTCTCCTCACCATCGAACCCAAAGGTTGAAGAACTGGGCACTGGTGTCCCAAGTTCACCCATCTGCTGAGCCAGAGCCGTAACTGACGACATCAGTTTGTAAAGGACACTTGTTTTGCCAGTGAGTTCCAAAGACGAGCCGTCCGCATACACAATGGATTCTTCAGGTGTGAGCCCGCGGTACGTCGCACGTCTACTGAGTTCCAGCAATACACATGTCTTGGCACGAAGGTATCGCATTTTGGATCCCATGTGCTCAATGCTACATGCTCCGGCGGATGTACATAAAAGAAACCGGCTGCATTCCCATGGAACCCGTTTAGCTTCAACGTGCCAGCACCGAAATTTCCTGCTTCGCGAACGCCAACTGATGCTGCGTACAGAATGTGTGTGATGTGTGCTGCCACGTCATGGCCATAAATTGCACGTCCCCCTGTTCCGCAACAGGAAATGGTGATGCTTTGCGATTCTTTCAGAAAACGAAACTCACTAAACACCCTGTCAAACGTAATGAGAAAAGACTCGCGTCCATTATTTTGTATGATGTGCTGCACGTTCTTAACTTGCGGCCTCTGCTCCAAAATAGACTCCCGTAATGCCTCGAAGTCTCGCTGCGCTGCTTCGTTTAACCCTAGGTCTGCCAAAGTTTTACTTGTTGTTGGGAGGTCAACTCCTGTGGGGCCTTTCCGCAATGGGAGCTCTAGCGGAGTTCGTCCAGCCAAGCTACTTGAAGCTGGCAATGGCCGCGCGACTACAGCATGTTCGTGACTGGAGCTTGATGGTTCTGCCACTTCGACTGCGTCAGACAACGAGCCTTCATCTAGCAATGGACTCATTACGGATACCCGCGGGGCACTCCATGACAGGTAGTATTGTGGATCGGGGAAACAGTTCGTCCACTTGGAATACGCGAAACTGAAATGATCCCCCACCCTTTTGATAAGAGCGATGGCCTTCTGTGTCTGGCCCACTTTCAACGAAAGACGTCGGATCAAAGAGGCTACACGATCCCAGAATGACCAAGAATAGGATTTCTTTGATGACATGCGAGGGTTTTGTGATGCGCTCTCATTTTCGAGATACTCGTGGATTGATCCTGGCCCAAGACCTGCTAACACATGACAGTTTGTCAACCAGATACCTGTTCGAGGATGCCCGATAAAGAACCATCCGACTACACGACAAGTTTGAAACATCATAGCCCATGAATGAACGTCTGTTGCCCAAGGCCAGCCGATGATGCATCCATACAGGCCCTGAGCTGTCAAATGACGACAAAAGCTAAGCAAGCTCAAAAACTGCTCATTCGACTCGTTATCTGGACTAATTAGCCTCCAACGTTTTCTCAAACATCGAAACCCATGTCAACAGCGGCCGGCTCACGCTGATCTGCTGCTGAAGCCAGGAATCATGCGTGAAGCTAAAGATGCGTTCCTGTGATGGCATGATTTGATCTAGCA